TCAAAGTAAAGCGCACCTTCAAATAGTGTCGAGAAATGAAGTTTCAATATTGTAAATCTTTGTGATAGCTTTAAAATATATTTTCATCTTTAATTGTAAAATATAAAGCTTCAAAAATAGTGTAGATCAAGCAGATCTATGGAAACTTGAAAAATCTTAAAAGTTGACGGTCCAAAAATGCATTACAAGATACGCTATTTATAAAACTTGAAATCTATTTTTTTCTTATGTCCATGCATCATGATGTCGAGATTATCAGGATATTTGGGCATCAAAACAACATCTTCTAGTGAAATTCTTGATGTGGGCTCTAATTTGATTGTTCAGAGCCACGGCTCAATATAAACTTTTCTTATATAATATTATAATAATATATTATTATATTGTATCACATTATATATTATAATATATATGATATTATAACATGAAAATATTATAATATATATTATTATAACTCCAAAATATTATAATATATATTATTATAACTCCAATGTCAGAGTGTTAACTTTCAATGATGACGTGAGTTTCACTGAAAAATAGGCCCACTGGGTACCTCAAATAGGAGTGACAAGGGTCGGTTCCAACTGGACCCAAACTTAGACCAAAAATAGACTATATGTACCCGAACCCTACCGGACGGGGTCAAATTGATCATCCCCGTACCCGTACTCGATTTGTAATTTTGGACCGGGGACCTGTACCCATACCCAACCCTAGACCATCTCCCTCTCCATGTAGCCTCTATCTCTATCTCTTGTAACAACCATATTCCTCTCTATCTCTGTTGAGCCACTTTCATCTCTTTCTCTCTCATTTGTTCTCTCTCTCTCCCCATCTCTCTACTCATCTTGCTCTCCGAGGCATCTCTTGCGACTAAAAACCATGTTGGTTTTGTGACCGAGAACCATTACAAAAGCTGTTGTATAAGAACCTAAAAACCCTCTGATTGAACCAATGATGCTTGCTCAACCTGATCAGAAGCTCCGACCTCATGCTGCATCCCCTTCTTTTGTTTCAGAATCAAGGTTAGGGCCCGACCTTAGCCCTAGTGGAAATTGTGCAATAAGTATCCCTTTCTTGTGGAGTTCAAGGAGAAACTTAAGATCAGGGTTTGGATGAAAAGAAAGAGGATACGAACTTCAAAGCTTCAAATGGAGAGAGGGACCCTTATGTTATGAAACCCCTCTTTATTTCGAAACCCTAGGTCTCACTCTCTCTCTCCTTGGCTCCGAAATTGTTAGTCTCTCTCTACAAGGACACTCACATCCTCTCTTTCTATAACCCTCTCTTTTGAAATGATCGAAACCTACCAACAGCATTAAATACTAAAACAAAGCTTAAAAGTAACATGTCTCAGGTCAGGTATGGGGTAGGTCCATTAGTTTTTAGACTCGTACCTGAAAGTTTTCAGGTCCACTATGTAGGACTTGGACCCTACCCACAAATCCAACTACTGGACCCATGTCGAGTATACAGGGTGGGTCCCGGATCCATTGCCACCCCTAACCACAAAAGCTTTCCTCATGGACATGGTGAAGGAGGAAAACTCGTATTCCAACTTTTCCCGATTTTTACTTGACTTAGTAAAAGATTTAAGGCACTTTTACTTAGGAAACGCTGTGCGTCCAATCAAGAGGGTACATTTTAAAGCAAGTGGGATGTGGTGGAATGCACTGTACACCGTCCGTGTCGGTAGAAGGTCGATATTTAAGCACGTTCTTACTGTTGTTAAGTTCATGCGGTCAGGAGACACGGGCGGCATCTCAGCGTCAAAGATAAGACCGAAGTGTTCGCTTTTTAGAGAGAGACGGCGATCTTGAGCTCTCTAGTGAGAGAGAGCACTGGAGCTCTCTCCGCGCTGGAGGGAAGGAGAGGGAAAAAGCACCTGACCTGTCTCTGCCTTCCACAGAGAGAGAGAGAGAGAGAGAGAGAGAGAGAGAG